GGTATGTTCTGGGGAACTCACTAAGCTTTCAGCTTACCTTTTACGGATTTTTTTCAGGTACATCTGAGCCCAAGGGCAAGGGCAAGACGTGATGGTGCGACATGCACTATCTCTCTTTCTCACACTGATATGTTATGGGACACTCTGATGTTTTTAAATAAAGTTGTAATGAATGTGGATTTGAAACAATTGTCTTGAGATTTCATGGTTTATGCAAATGTGTTTGATTAACTAAAAATAAAAAAATTCTTTTAGAATTTGGGTCGATACACACAAGAAGTTGGATCTATTATGGAGACTCTCACTCAAGCTCCGAAGAATAGTAAACTTCCTTGAACACTCTCAAAATGGCACCCACAACAAGCAATTGAGGGAGGAGAGAGAAATGGAGGCTATGGTTTCATTCTTTAGAGGATAAAGGTTGATCCATAGAAGCCCTGAAATTTTGAGATGCTGAAATAGAGAACAAACCCGGAATCTAGGGCTTATGCAAATAGCAGCGCTACACTTAGCATTAACACACCTACGCTTGATGTAGCTCACCTATACTCAACGTAGGAACAAAATTCTGAAATTCATCATTTTATACTAACAAAGGGCATCACAGTGTTTGTAGTTGCAAAAATGCTCAAACTAGGATTTTCCAAGTCTTTGCTAAGCCTATTCCCGTCGGTTTTATGAATTGATGAAAAGTAACAATCATTATTTTTTTTTTTGTATTTTTTTTAATAAAATATAATTATTTTAGACTAGATTTTATAGTTTTTATTATGTAATATTCAATATAATTCCAAATATTTTAATCTTTGTAATAATATATATTTATTTAAATTCTACATAACATATATGACATTTTTTTTCTGTTTTTTGTACATTTTTATAAATTATGTTTATAAATCCTTATAAAGTATGTACTTTCTATTACATAATACATGGTATAAATCAAAACATATAATTGAGACTATGGCTGTAAACGAACCGAATGAACACAAACAAAAATTTGTTCATGCGCATTCGTTTAAGTTAGATAAATAAAGAATAAACACGAACACATAAGTGAACAAGTTTTCTTGTTCACATTTGTTAGTTTAACAAATTATTTTGTTTATATTTGTTTGTTTATGTTCGTAAACATGTTAAATAAACATAAACAAACAAAGATAAACAAACACAATTGAACATATAATATAGTAATTTAATAAAAAAAATATGAATATAAATAAACTTAAACGAACGTTGACGAACATAAATGAACAAACGAGACCATTGTTTATGTGTATTCGTTTAACTATACGAACAATAATTTTTGTTCATGTTCGTTTATTTATTAAATAAACGAACATGAACAAACTTCCAACCGAACAATTCGTCGAACGTTCACTTCGTTTATAGTCCTAATTGAGACTATCTCAACTTTAGCCTCATAACTAAATAAATTTATCTAAATCTGACACATAGCAGCCCTATAAATTTGAAATGTCATTGAGAAGGTCTAATTTATAAATTTATCTAAATTCGACATATATCATATATGACATGTTTTCGGTTTCAAAATTCGTTTTTCTTTATATCGATATAGAATGCATTTTTTTTAATGTCGTCATAACTTTTTCATTTTACGAAATTCTCTATAAGACTATCTAATTTTTATCTATACATTGATATAAATTTATTTCAATCCGGCATATATCTATCATATTTTCGATGTGAAACATTATAAAGTACTATTTTTGTACATTAATTTAACAAATTATGTCATTCTCATTGATAATAATCTATATATCTTCCAATTTTGAAACTAATTATACTTTACCGGTGGTTTCCTCACAGAATATATAAGTCCTAATTTTACATACAAAAATAAAGTACTTGGTCAAATAATAATAAAAAGAATGTCTTTGGTTTTTGTGTTCCACCTTCTTTCATCTTTATTCTGTTTCAAAAGACACAAATCGACATCACCATATTATTTTGTCTTTTATTCAATATTATTTGTACAACACTCAAGTATTATGTCTAACAAAAAGTATTTAACATAAGATTGAAAATAAAAGAACATATAGAACCGGGATACATAATTTTTATTTTTTCTTTATACCGACAGTACTATATGGGCATATGGGTTATTATAAATGTTGTCAGTAACAAGAGGAAATAATGCTATAATTAATACCATTAAGGTTTTAGGTTTGTATCCAACTATCCATACATGAATTAATTGGCATTTGTCTAAAGGAGTGGACTTTTTGGGGTTCAAAATTGACATATAAGCCAAAACTAATAAACGTGCTTCCCTCAATGCTATCCTCCATCTCCATCACCCTCTATCCCTTTTCTTCTTCCTTCCTGTTCCCACTTTCTCTCTCCAAACTTTTTCCATTTTCAAGCTTTTCTTGAACTCCACATACACCAGCTGAATTATTGTTGTCTTTATCTACTGGTTTAGTCAAACCTCTTAATTTAATACCCCACATTATTCTCTGCTAAATGTCCGGGTTTATTGATTTTGAACTCCCTTTTTCTCTAAATTAACCAGTAACCGAAGCTTAAAAGACACCAGCTCCTTCTATTGTTGGTGGTTCTAATCCCAATTATATCAGGTCAGAAGATAATTCTCCATCTTTATTGTCGGTTGGGTAGCTCGAAATTGAGCTATTTTTCAAAAGTTTCTTAGCTTTAAACCAAATGGGATTGTTTGAAGTGCGAATGTTTTAGCCATGGGCTTTTGTTGTTTTACCCAAATATTGGAAGAAATTTAAGATACTTAAGTGTTCTTAGCAGCACACTGTAAATGTATGGACTCAAACTTCAAAGTTTTGTTCTTTTGCCTTTTTTTTTCGAGAATCCATTGAGGTTTGTTTTAGGGGAAGATACAAACTTTTGATTCTGTTAAGGATACTATATGGGTATGTTTGTTCGTGATTCTCATTAGTTTGAAAATTTTGTTTTATGTGGAGTTTGTCGTACAAGTTATCTTAAATTTTTATGCTGCATTCTTTTGTTTTATATTTTTTATCGTTGTTGTTTCTTATAAACAATTAAACTTCAACTGATTCAATTCTCCAGGTCCTTTAACAACAAAACCTTCATCTGACAATGTTTTATTGAATATCGTCATCTAAATTCTAACAACCAAATCGACTATTTCCTCAATTTCAGAAAAAAACGATGGAAACACTAACCTCATCTGCTGCATCTCCGGCCAACTATGATGAGATCGCTATGCAGCAAACATTGCTATTTTCCGACAGTTTGAAGGTAATTTCATCATCTCATGTTCTTGATTCTCTGTTTTGCGTGTTGTAATGGTTGATTGTGTTTCAGGATTTGAAGAATCTGAGAAAACAACTGTATGCAGCTGCTGAATACTTTGAATTATCTTACACCAATGATGACCAAAAACAACTGTGAGTAAGGAAATTACTTAAAAGCCATTGTAATCAATTTCAGCTTAAGTTTACTTGTTTTTGTTGTGCTGTTACAGAGTGGTTGAAACCTTAAAAGATTATGCAATCAAAGCTCTGGTGAACACAGTTGACCATTTGGGTGCTGTGTCATGTAAGGTCAATGACCTTTTAAGTGAAAAAGTGAATGAAGTTTCAACAACAGAGCTTCGAGTATCATCTGTTCAACAGGTTCTTTTTCATTTGACATTAGGAAATAGGAATCTTGACAAAACATTTATTTCCAGTTCCATTATTAATTATTTGATGTTGTTGTGTTACAGAGACTAAGAGTATGCCAGGGGTGTTTTGATCATGAAGGCTTAGCACAACAATCTTCATTGATAAATATTCCAAAGTACCATAAAAGATATATTTTGCCAGGTAATAAAACCTTATTTTTTCTTTAATTGTTTTGCCAAATGATCCATTAATTTAATTGTTTTTTAAAAATTTTAATGCTCAGTTGGAGAGACAATGCAAGGTGGTATGAGAACAAAATCAAAGTACCAAGGATGCAGTTTGGATGATGAAGACGAGTGGCATGAATTCAAGAATGGTAACAATTTTATTCGGTTGTTTGTTACTTTGTTTTATATATAAAAACATTCAATATTTATAAACCTTAAAATCTTAAATCTGTTTTTTTTTTTGTTACACGCAGCTGTTCGTGCTACAATCAAAGAAAAAGAAACACCACCATCTTTGGCCAGGTAAATCCTTTTTTTTTTTTTTTTTTTTTTTTAATTAAGCAAATATTACTACATTCAGTTCATGTCTAATTATTAAAGATTAAATCAAATAAAAAAATGAAGCAAAAAACGATCCCCGTCTCCTACACCCCAACAACCAGGATCGTTTGCTTTCACTGCTGCAGTCACAAGAAAAGATTTAGGTATGCACACATTCATTTTTTATTTTACATCCAAAGTTTTTTTTTTTTTTTTTGGCTTAACCCATTAAGCCATTATGTTCAAGGCTAAGGGGTTATTTGATATGCCTCTTACTGGATCGAGTAAGAGGCGGTTATTTAAACCGTTTGATACCACAATTAGAAATCTCTGATTCGGTCCTAGACATAACCTCATGCTGACGATCTGGTTTGGTCCTAAACTATCAAACAACCCCTAAGTCAAAAAAAAAACAACCACCATGTATAACTTTCCAAATGAAGTGTTTTAACTCGTTGAGTAACAAAGAAACACCCCTTTAACTCTTCTTCATCATGAATCAGAAAAAAGATCAACTTCACCACGAAGATTTTCTCTTTTGCGTACGGGTTCTTTGTCTGGTAGGCCAACAACCCCAAATTCAAGATCGACTACTCCTACCAATCGCAGTAGGCCAACAACTCCAACCTCGGTTTCCCGCCAAATGGTAATTAATACTTAACACACAAACACTTTTAATGCTTTTTCTTGATTCAAATATTGTTGTGATGATGTGGACCAATGGTTTGCTTCCATGTGTAGCTTTCGGAGCCTAGGAAATCGGCTTCAATGCGTATGCATGCTGACAGAGAAACAAATAGAGAGACAGACCAGAACCAGATTCCAAGCAAAAGTAAACGATTGCTCAAGGCATTGCTTAGTAGACGCAAGTCTAAGAAAGATGACACGCTTTACACTTACTTGGATGAATATTAAACAAAAACCCCAACTGAAAAGTTGGCATACACATGTGCTTGTTGTAATCTTGTTTAAGTCCATCAAGTGATAGATAGAATGTATTATTTTATTATTCTCGTCAACAACATTACGTTTCTCAATTCTCATCATCATTATATAACATAATGTTTAATCGAATGACACATACACACATCTCTCCCAAAAATTCAAATATCATTAAGCTACAACAACTAAAATCCAACAAGTATATAATACAGTAAATTAATAACACTACATGTTTTGATGCTCAACATCACCAAATTGTTCGATGGTTTTTGTGGCTAGAGTTAAGGCATCCAGAAAAGCGCTATATGATGCACGAAGAAATCTTGCTTCAACTGCTTCAAAATGCCTATAAAGAATGAACACAATATATTTTTCAACAAACACAAGCTTTTAAATCACCGAATTGGTGGTCATAATATTTCCTATTTGTTTATATCATTTAACTCACACAGAAAGTTTCCCATCAGACACTGACATCAGCCGCTTGACTTTATCTGGTTGAAGCTGGAAACAGGAAGATGAAAATAAAATGGTAATAATGAGCAAAATGGAATGTTTAGAAATGACATAAATGATGAAGAGATTATTATTAAAAGTATACCTCCTTGTCAACAGCTAGCGTTGAATATACTATGCCAGCATTTTCATCAGACTTAAAATCTACTTCCAAATCACTGTAGAAAGTAAACCTTATAATGAGATTTTGAATACAAACTTTAACATCTTTATTTTGAGGGCGTTACATTTACATATTTGTTAAAGCTAGAGAGAGGAAAACTCACCAGCTGAATTCCCATGGAGATGGAATAGTTTTTTGGGCATCTTTTTCAATCGCAGGAGCAACGGAATCCATTTTTATCTGAGAAAAAGACAAATATGTTATAGTTCCATTTAAGGTATTGGAATTTTAATTTAAGGATGCATCATACATGTTGGTTTTATGAATAATATTTATTTCTAGGAAAAAATTTAACTGAGAAATGCCATTTTCGCGGATGATATCCTCGAAAATGTTCCCAGATATCTGATTTGACTTTTTTTTTTTTTTTTTTTTTACCTGCCAAAAGTCCAAGAATATCGCATTTCAGCTAATATTTACCGTAACTGACATTTACTTAAAAGAGTTGAATCTAGTAATTAAATACCAAACATTCTGTATCACAAAAGCAAATTACCTCAAAATCCATAGAAATATGCATTAGAAAAACAGTAAGTTGACTTAAAAAATAAAATTGAAATTGCACTTGTTTCTTTGATTTTAGTTAATAATTTATAATCAGGTCATATCAATCAATCTGCTGTCATGTGTAAGTAAGCAATAAACCGTCGGAATAATTGCTTACCAATTTACTGCGTTACCGGATTCTGACAAGACGAAGGATACAGGAGGTGTCTACGGCGGCGTCCGAGGGAATGAATGGCCGGAAGCAAATGTGTGGAGGCCGGAGGGTTTTAGACGCACTTATTCGTTATCATTTTGTAAAGCCTCGATAAATTGGTGATATGGATAGACTTTTAAAATGGGCCTCAAGCCCTCATTCCCATCTATTGTTTTAGGCCCAAAGCTCAATTTTAATTTTAATTTCATTTCTCTAGAAATTATCTTCCTCGAATATCTTCAATTATTTGATCATAAATCATAATATCCGAGTAATTATTAAATAAAAGTTGATTACAAATAATGGCAAAACCAAAAACATTCTTCAAAGTTCAAACTCGAATTTATATACATACTTCCAACTTCAACATCCTATTTACAGACATCAGAAATCCTTCAAGATTATAAACAAACACATCTATATACCAGACAAGATCTGTATATAGAACAAATCTTCAACTCTATTTACAAACATCATAACATTAACATGGACATGTTCAAATGCTCAATTGTTCAAACAAACCGATCAATCAACCAATAGATTCATCTGAATAACCAACCCAATGTCCAACCAAGTAAGAAACCCGCACCACCAAGACTCAAACCCAAAACAAAGCTCCCAAAAGACTTTCCATTTTTGTATCTTGATGATCCAGAGCCAGACTTCTCTTTCTTCTTCCTCTTCCAAACCCTTTGCTGATGATACTTACTGTTCCTAGTAGCTTCCAGTTGCAATATACGAAACCATTGCTTGTAAGCAAATAGCTGTGAAGCTTGCTTCATAAACTGACTGATCATGTCTTCTTTTTCATTGTTTGCTTTTTGTGCAGCTTTTTCAGCTTCCCTTGCTCGTGTTTGAGAATGGCAAAGTGCTTCCAAAAGCTCAGCCTTGCTCAGTTCATCTTGACTCTTTTTCTCTGCTTCAAATTCCTTGATTTTTGCATATTTTTCCTCCATTTCCATGGTTTCCCATGATGGTTCCCAGAAAGAGGTGGGATTTTCTTTAGGTTGATGGTGTAACCACCATTTGGTGTCACCTGCAAGATCATATAACTTGACTCCATCACCAGGACTTTCTTCTGAAGGTGATTTAGACGAAGATGGTGAAGTTCCCTTGTAATCTTCTTGAACTACGGAACTATTAGCGTAATGAACCCACCTAGGCTTACCTTCTCCTGAATCCATTATCTCCTGAACAGTTTTACAGAAAAATCGAACGAATAATTAGGAAATAGCACATCCGCCGCCGGTTACTAATATAATTTCTAAATCCATATCAATTTTGCATAACTAAGTACTAGATTTGAAGTCAAAGTGGAGCTATCCTACAAATCGGATAGTTAAAATTTAATTGAAAACAATCAAACCTGAAAACTTCAGAGTCGTTATAGGGTTAACTATGGAATTAAGCAACAATCAGATACAACAGCAATTGATTACTCATCTCAAGAGTTGATCCGATTAAACAAAGTAGAAATTGGCAGATAATTAATGATGAAACGAACAATAAAGAGCAATACCTGTTTAACATGAAGATGGGTAACGAGATATCGATCGATGAATCTGGTTTCTTGGTTGGTGGTCGTATTCAGCCTTCAGGTTTTTGTTTTGCTAACTGCAAGTGTGAATTACAAGACACATCCTCCACTATTGCAAAAGTTTCAAATCAAACCCTATAATACGTTTTTAACATTAATCATCCCTCAAACAAGAACAGCTCTTCATATTGATCCTTCTATCTATTACCATTTAAGGTCTTTGTTTCCGTCAGCAATCATCAGATAATAATAGAATGGACATAGGAAATAAAATGAACAAGGTAATGATATAAATAATTACATTTCATTGGCATGTAGTCGACTGGAAGAAATCAAATGAGTCATTAAAACATGTTAGTTTTTATCAGTGTTGTAGAAATCGGCATTGGTGGCCGACTGATTAATCGGTGATTAATCACTTGGCGGCCACGAACCGATTACGATTATGGTGCTTGGTGGAAATTGGTCAAAATCGGTCAAACTTGAGCTTGGCAATCCTTGGTGGTCCTCAGCGGTCATAGGCGAGGAATATTTTAAAAAATTCAAAAAAAGAAATAATTTTCAAATATTACACCAAAGTTTTAAAATTTTAAATTTTTAAGCTTTAATATTTTAAAATATTATACTAAAATTTTTAAAATTTCAAAATTTTAAAATTTAAAATTTCAAAATTTTAAAATTTAAAATTTCCAAATACTTAAATTTTTAGGAAATATTAATTTTTTAAATAATTTTATTAATAATTTAAGGTCCCCGATTAATCGTCGATTAATCTCCGCCGAGTCTGATTAATAGCTTATCGTCAGTCGACCGTCGAGCTACCGCCGAACGATTTTTACAACCTTAGTTTTTATTAATAAATAAAAAACTAAATATAATTAAAATTGATCTGTAATGAGCAAATGTTCTTTTATAAAAAAAAAAAAAGCAAATAATAAATTGTTACATCAATTATATATATTACATGTAAAATAATTAAAAAGATTATCTACAATGTAAAATAGTTACAAAATAATAAGAATCACAATCTCAATTGGGACCCACAAACTCAACCCAATAAATAGCAAGTTGGGTTGAGATCTTGAATTCATTTAATTAAATGGGTTGAATTAGGGTTGAAATTCCTAACAGTTGACAACCTGCCAACCCGTTTAACGGGTTCCGCGAGGCAATTGAGGATATTGTGGTTTGTGGTGGCCTTTTCTTTGGCGGCATACAGTGGTGACTTGCTTTTCTACCCATTCGGTTTGGTGGTTCGGGTTTATACTCGGCAGTGGAGGCTACCTCATATAATTTTATTGCCTTAAGGGTTTAATCTTGGGTATTGCAATACGACATCTTACGAGATAACGACATTTATGGTATGAATTATGATTATGCTTATGCCTTAGCTTCTCTTCGTAACAAGCTTCTGGACATTGACCTTAACAGTTTTTTTTACTAAGGATGTGTGGACCTTATGGCGGTATCCCCTCTTGTAGGCTTGAGAGATGAGGGTTTCACAGCGGGACAGGTTGCATTAAAAGCTGCTACATACAATATCACAAAACATGAGAAACCGTGCATGGAAAATCAACACATGTTCATACCATTTGCATTTGATACGTTTGAGTTTCTTGCGCCGGATGAGGTGGAGCTTTTTAGTAGAGTACAACGGATCATGCATAACAATCTTATATCCCCTAAATCTATGGATGTAGTTTTCAAAAGAATTGACTTTACCATACAAAAAGGCTTAGCGGCGCAACTTGTCGCCCGCTTGCCTTCTCATTCGTTGTGCGATGATAACTAAGATATATCATTAATTAGTAAGTTAAAGACTAAATAAATTTTTATTTATTTAATATTATTATTCAGTTGATCATTATATTTAATTTTTTTTTATTTATCAAAATCCATGGGCCAGTAATCGTTAGGGAATTTGAGTTTGTAAAAGTGATAGTCGAGTTGCGTGTAATTTAGAAATTTAATATTTATAATGTATTATTGTTGTAAACTATTATTTGTGTTTGTGTTATGCCCCTATAAAGTTATTGATCTATAATTTTCAAACTTGAACAATTATTATAGCTTTTAAATTGTATGAATTTTATTTGATTGATTTTTTTATTTTTAAGAGGTTTTTTGTGAAAATTTAAAGGAGTTAACCCAGGATTAACCCCTTTAGTAAATAAATTGGGTTGGAAAAAGAGTAAATTACTGAAATCATCCATATGGTTTGGTCAAAATTACATGTTTGGTCCGTAATTTTTTTTTGCACTCAGATCGTCCCTGTAGTTTAATTTTGTTGTGTTTTTCGTCCCTTACATACATAAAGATAGGGACCAAACGTGCAATTTTGATCAAACCATAGGGACGAAAAATAGAACAAAATCAAACCGTAGGGACGATTCGAGTGCAAAAAAAAAAAAAAAAAAAAAATTAGAGACCAAATGTGCAATTTTGACCAAACCATAAAAACGATTTCCATAATTTACTCTTGGAAAAACAATAAACAGATCGAAAACCCATTTATAAAAAAAAATCGTGTTGGATAGATATTTTAACTTATTTAAATAAAGATGTCAAACCTATTTAAACATGTCAAACCTGTTTATGATCCAACCCAATTCAGTGCCCTTAATATGTTAAAAAGAAACCATTTAATTAAACATGTCAAACCTTTTATGACTCAACCCAATTCATGATCCAACCCAATTCAGTGCCCTTAATATGTTAAAAAGAAACCATTTAATTAAACATGTCAAACCTTTTATGACTCAATATGTTAAAAAGAAACCATTTAATTAAACATATCAAACTTGTTTATGACCCAACTAATTCAGTGCCCTCAATATGTTAAAAAGAAAAAGATACAATAAACTCTTTAAATATAATTATAATAAATGTATTTTTAAATATTTTGTAAAAGCTAAAAAAACTTGATTAAAGTTTTTAAAATTAAAAAATATATATTTTTTGAAGATTATATAAGTTAAAGAAAATTATAATTATAATACATATAATTCTATTCTCAACAAGATTGAAAAGATAATAACCCTTCCTGATATAATAAAAATCATTCCAAGAAATATTCTATAAGAAATGTTTCATTTTGCCTTGTTTAGCTTCTAAGCTTGCAAGTGTCTTTCAATGATATTTGTTGTTTCCAAAAAAATATAAAAAATCCGTTTATATTTAATCACATTGATGTCTATAGGTCGGGGGCGGAACGTGAGCACTTCAACTAGGAGCCGGAAGAAAAACTCCAAAACATGACCGATTCATAATGTTGAAAGCTATATCGAGATGAAATAACTCCGGCGTATAGAAGGAATTCATTATGTTTAATTAATATATACATATAACTGTATCATATCAAATATATCCAAGCTTTAAAAAAATTATGGCAAACTTAAACTCATACTAAACTCCATGGACTACTTTTAACACATTACACATGGAACCACACCAAAAAAATCCAAGAAAAAAGTCAAAGCAATGGTTTCTATTACAAAACCATTGCTTTGACTTTTTTTTTTTTTCTTTTAACATCAATTCTTTCATAAACTCAAAGTCAGCTGGGTTGCTTCAATTCTTCCGTTTAAGAATTTTAGATCACCTGGTAGGAAGTTCTCGCAACTCACAAGTGTCTGTATTGGCAAAATGAATCTAACAGATCCCTTACTTTTCCTTCTTGTTTATAGTTTCTTAATCTGATAAGATCTGATCATAAGGGTTTACATCCATGGTTTTGTCAAGGTAAAGTGTCACCAAGGTGCTTACAAATACAAACTGTTGAAGACAATGGCCTATATCAGTATCAGTTCTTGCATTTCTCTTGGGCTATTAATTACATCAACAAACATCTAGACTAAAGTCTCCAAGCTTCTTCAAGTGTTAAATTCATACCCTCAATTTATCTTTCCACTAGCATAAATATTCTTACCAAAACTCCTAACAAACAATGGAGTCTATCTTTACAGAAAGCTCATGTAGATCTTGTAATCTTTGACAATTGCCTTAAAGACTTTTTGGGATTTTGTCAGAATGAGATTGTATGGAGATTTAAAACTATTCGCACAATCGGAAAAGATGAGCGGTTTCATCAGATTCATAATCCGAAAACATATGACCCTCTGATTCCTCCCCCGATTCAAAACCATTTTCAAAAACATCTTCACCGGAATTGGGATTGGAATTGGAATTGGCAGCAGTTTGTTTCTTATATAACCCTCGGCTTTTATCCAGAAACCCTTCCTTCATCAAACATCGAAACCTCTCCCTGATTTCAGAGATCGGGTGTTTCTGAACAAGTTGATGACGATCATAAGCTTCACGGAGAACAACCGTTTGGGTGTTGTTCTTCTTTGAGATGTAGAAAATCCCGGGATGACGCTCGAAAACCTTTGTGAATTTCTGAGGAAGATTCAATGGATTCCGGAGATTGCTCACATTCCGGCGATTGGTTTTCTTTTCAACCGTGAGATGTAAAAGTTCGTGAAATACTCCGACAATTCTCTTCTCGGAAACATCTGTCCTTCGATCCAAATGACTGGAATCGGAATATGGCGATGTGTATGGGAGCCTCTGCCATTCCTCCAACCACTTCATTGATTTCCGATTTAACCCAAATCCCCGTGGGAATCCCACATTGAAACTTAATCTACCATTTTTAACATCGTCTTCTTCTGCATTCGTTTCTAATTGGGAAAGGGGAAGCTCATTGGGTGGAGTTATGAGTTTTAAGGCGAGACGATTGTGGGGAAGAGGAATCAAAGAGAACATATTTTCGTATTTTGAGATGAAAGAATCGAGATAATCGTAAGGCAAACCCAAATCCCATTTCAATTGGTCGATTGTATGTAAAGGAAGAATCGTGTCTTTTGTTAGGAGAAGAAGCTTTGAGATTCTAGCGAGGAAATCTTTCTGATTTTGCTGGAAAACCGCCATGGATTCTTGATTTAGTCGAATAGCATCTGGGGTTAATCTAAACCAGGGAACAAGAGTGCCACCGGTGTCAGGAAGATGAAATTCATCGAAGATATTTGGGTATCTTCTCATAAAGGTGGAAACTTTGAGGTCTTCGGGAAGACCCAGTTGGCCTCTCCGCCGGCCGGAGAGACGGTAGATGGGGAGGCAACAACCAGGGTCGGCTGCTATAACTGACACGATTACCCAGGCTGCTCTGAGCTCTCTCTCACCGGTTACAACAGAATCTAGTACATTATCCTTCACCCATTTCAATTTTACGTTAACTAAACTGTATCTTTGATTGTGTCTAAACCCTAGATTACTATGGTGATTGCAGGGAAATTTGCAGTTTTTCCCGAAACCCAAACTCCACCGGAGCATCTTCAGCGTATTATACAACTTGACGAGTGATTCAAAACAATAAACGGTTAGAGGACTTAAGAAACAAACTATGTGGGAAAAATACCTGCAGTTCTGAGATAGAGGAGATGTCGGCGGTGCGAAGTGTTGTCGATGCACCTCAGAGTCGTTTTAGGGTTAACCGTGGAATTCAAGGAACAATTCGATACAAATGCAATTGAGTAGTCATCTCAATAGTTGATTGGATTAAACAAGAATTTGGCATCGATGATGAAACGTACAAAAAAGAGCAGTACCTGCTAAACATGAAGGTGGGATGGCGATTGAGTAATCCGGTTTCATGGTGGCTGGTGGTGGTCTGGTCATATTCACGATTTTGTTTTGCTAAATGTGTGAATAACAAGATCCATCCCTCACTATTACAAAGTTCCAAATATAACCCTTTACTACGTTTTTAGATTAATAGTCCCTTAAAGAAGAATAGGTCTTCTAATTGATCCTTCAAACAGTTTAGTAGTTTACCATCTTTGTTAGGTGTCAAGATGTTGGGCCGGCCCATATATGGACACACTTTAAAATTAATACCCGACCCGATCACAACCACAGTTCGTTGTATTGGTTGAGATCTTTAGCTTATTTAAGAATTTAGTTGAACCGAATACAAACCAAATCAATTTATTACGATCTAGATGCCATATGATTTAATCACATCAATATAGGATATGAGCACCTACAAATGTGGTATGAAGCACATACATTATATTTAAATGATGAAGGCATGTTATGAACCTTAAATGGAAGTTTGTTGAGGTTGTAACTAAAAAAGTATAAATGAATGTTCTAATTCACCTTTATTTGGATTATTTTGTTTTTTAAGATCATTTTTCAGTTCATCTTTATTTTTTTTTAAATCAAAATGGAATACAAAATTATGCAAATAATGTCTCATGTCTAATCACATTTCATTTTTACACGCAAAAAATATACTTTTTAGAATATTAAATAGTAACTTATATAGATTTTCAAAAACAAAATTCATTTAATAAATATGTATTCATCTTTTTCTATTATAACAATTTAGTATGTTATCACAAGATTATAACAATATAAATTGTTTGTATATAACTAACTTGGATTGATTATGGTTCTATTAAAATAAAATTTATTAATAAAAAAATTACATTCATAACATTTTTCGATAACTAATAGTATTATCAATAGTTGATTTTTACTTAGATTATTATTGTAATACAAAGGTTAATAGTATCTTATATTATAATATGTATTTTAAGATTTATCTCAATTGTACATTTTTATAAAATATATTATTGTGTTTTGATTTTTTTATAATGTACGTAAAATTTATATGAAGGGAAAATGACATAAATGCCCTAACTTTCTAAGATTGGTTCATTTAATCCTCAGATTATTTTCGTGGTTTTATGAGGAAATTAAGTTGATGTCTATCTATTTTTTTGATCATTACTACTCAATGTAGCAGGTATCTTAAGCCACATAAATATTTTCAGCTGATGTGACTTCCTTCATATCCAATTCAAAATCAAAGAAATAATTTTGACAAAATGTTTAAATAATTAACCAAATACAAATTGTCCCACCGTTAATAACAATTAATTGGATCAAAGCACCACCAAGTTTGTTTGTTATCAATACTCTTGATTTAACAATGACTCTTTATCGGAATCGTTAGAATTGAAGTTGGCGGGTTTCAAAATAAATCGGAACAGTGAAATTAGATTCAATCTCAATGATGTGAAGTAATTGTAATGTTTGTATGCTCCGACTGATACCCAATACCACCCGATGCTTAGTAAATGATGTACTGGAAGATTAAATGATTCAATGGTCAAATGAAAAAGTCAAAATTGACGTTCCAGGCAATGAAAGGATCAAGAAATATATAACATCATCTAAAACTCAATACACCCATTCTTCTATCCAATATTGGTCGTTTAAATCTAAAAAAAATCATCTAAATTTTTGAGTTACTCACAAGTACCAAGGTAAACAACATACGACGAGAAAAGGATAGTTGAAGGAACAAACGCAATCATCAAGTTATAACAAACAATCTATTGATCCTTAAAATTGAAATTTCTATCCTCGCAGTTGTTATTTGTTGTGGATTCAATTCGATTGTGTTTGAAGAAAGGGCGGTGTAGAAGATCATTGGGGAAACATATTTTGAAGCTGGTTGCAGATGACCATTTTCCTCTACACCAGCACCATTAGGTACCCTAATCCACCCCAAAGCTCTCTCCATACCACTTTTTTCTACTTTGTCGTTGATTTCTTACTTCCATCACTCCAACTCTTCCATTTCCTTCATCGAAATATCCTCTCGGCCTTAAACCATTGATTGCGTTCACCACCTGAAACAAAGACAAATTTGATGAAATTTTGAACACAGTTATATGAATTGAACACCGATTCAAAGTGAAATTAGACCGATTAACAAATATTTTCAGGTTTAAGAAAAAAATGATGGTTCCCAAAATGAGAACGGAACTGAAATCATCTAGAACTTTCGCTAGATCTACACCCTGATCTCTGTTAGAACATTTATCAATACACATCTGAATAAACACATTGTATGTTACATGATTCTACCCATCTGATATATTCAATAGTTAATCAAGATGAGAAATGGGGAAGAGGAAGATAGAAGTCGGTTGATGGGAGGAGAAGAGGGTCAAAGGATTTGTAGTCTATCTGACATATTAATTTAGTGACATGGCAAGAGGTAACCGGGTTAACCCTTCATAATATCCAAAAGGACCTAATAGACCCGACAAAAACGAATTTGCTCCCTCATAAAGCTACAAAAATAGCTTAGGGACTAAATAGACCAACCATAGAAAGTTCGTAGGACATTTGTATCATTTTCCCTTATATGAATTCGATACATAAAAATTAATTTTTATATTTATGATTAATTAATATTATTTAATATATAACATAATATTGCAAATGTTAATTATTATAATTAAAGTAGAATTACTATATTGAAATAAACTGAAAATGTGTAAATATAAAATGAATGGAACTAAATTTAAGCGTTAAAACTTTCAATTCACTTTGATGGACTAATATATAGGTTGAGGGGCCGTTTGATAGTTACTAACTGAGTTAAAAGTTGATTGAGTTAGAACTTCTGACTGAAAGTTCTTGTTTGATTTTGCATCTGACTGACCATACAAAATGACTATATTACCCTCAAACTTTTGTAACATCTTAACTTAAACTCTTGACATATATGATCCAAACATCTAAAGATCTTTAATTTGTTGTTGTTTCCTCAATACAAAAAAGTAACAATCATCATGAAAAAGCTATTTTTGTTATTTTTCCAAACTTTGTACCAAAACATTGTTATTTATATTTTTAGATTTTTTACTAGAACATATTTATATTTCAAGATTTTGTACCAAACATTATATCTATTGAATACAAACCATTCAAAGGTTACACAAAAGTTAAAATCAAATTTAATACAAACCGGTCAATGTATTAAGAAAATGAAATCATGCAATAGATGGACAATAGCCTTATCCACGGAAGATGGATCATTGATGAGCTAGCAACCAATAATTGTGCCTCAAAATCCTCCAAGATCTTCCCATACATTAGATGCATGAATTAATTAGTAAAAATGATGGTAAATTAAAAGGCCTAGAATGAAACTAAAGGATAAAATCATGACCAACATACCCCTACACTACTTATTCCTATTCAATACCATTCAAGACGATCAAAATATGAAACAAAACATACCCCTATACTCCTGCACTACTAAACTGCACCATATGAGTTTCCAAATTTGTACCAAGGACAAAATGGTCAAAATATGAAACAAGTTGTACAAAAAACAACAGGGCATGAGGGAAGAGCAAGGTATTGCACCAGATTCAACAATCAACATTAAATACTCCATAAACACCAACAAATTCCATGTACAAACTACATATTTGAACTAACTACAAACATGTGATATGAAAAATTGTCTACATCGTATAGCCAGTTAGAGAAAGATCACAAATAGGTTCAAATCGGATTCATTGTGGCTTTCAAATTTATTTTGCAAGAAACAGATTTCATGTACAGATAACAGATTTGAACATCGTGTAGCATTGTAAGGCTCAAATCAATAAAAGAGGTGGATTTCGAATAACAATTACAAGAAAAAAGCTTGAAGTTATCTGATTTCAGAGTTCTTCATCGCTACCCTGTTGTGTCGATGTTCACGATATTGTTGGTGGAGTGTTTTCGGATGTAAGTCTCTAACTCTCGTCTCTAATCTCTATGCGTGTATGATAATGAACATCTGAATATTGAAGTCTGAAGAACGTAATTTTGATTTGGGAGCGTCAGGGTGACTGTGTGAGTTGGAGGAGTGGAATATCCATGAAACACAAATCTAGATTAGAAAGTGATGAATGAATGAGGCAGTCCCTGGTATGGGGGAGGAGGTCATTGGAGTGGAGGCGATACGTATATGCGATGGAGAAGAAGAATCCTAAAAAAGAAGGAGACGGGCAAGGAGGGAAATGATGATGCTTGGTATCGGTAAGCTGTATTCTACTAATGGACCGAGTTAGAAGATGGGCCAGCAATGACTTACCGAATCAGACAAAAAACACATATATCAAACATGATGTCCGAACCGAGTCAGCCAAAAGTGTTGATCCAGACCCAGTCAACAAGATATCAAACACCCTTTGAGTCGTATAGCACCGAACTAAAAGGAGGTTAGAAAATAAAACATTGAGAGAAAAATGAAATTTGAAGATGTGATGGAGATTTTCTTTGTTTCACTGAGAGTATACAACGGATGATTTGGGTTTCATGAAACATAGCAGCTTCAAGTTTCTAATAAAATATTGATTATTTTATCTTAAATTCTTGCAATTTCAACTTTATTGAGTTTATTTGTTTCGTTCAAACTAAAACCTATGTTGTAAAATTTGTTAGGCGTTTTTAGTGGTGTCAAATAGCGAATA